TCCCACGGAACAGTCCTAACATTCCATCATGTGCTGTTTTCAAGCTAGCAGCTCGCAGCTGCATTGCTTTTATATCGTAACATACTCCCCCATATGAATCAATGTGCGCTGCGAGCAAAGCTTGATCCAGAGAAGAAAACAAAGAGTTGTTATACATATAGCACTCCCCTGTTGTTTCAGTTCCACCCTTGGAACTACCCGCCACTGGTTTCCCCAGTGTACCTCTCTGGTTGTCTGACTTCCAAGGAATGAGTGCATCTGCATTACCTTGGCTAGGGAATGTAGTGTTTCACTTAGCAACTCCCTGTTGTGTCTTTGTCTCTGACTTAGACACAGCTTTAACCTGTCTTGAGTTGTCAACAATAGTAACACATGCTACAGCTGAATTAGCAAACTCTTTGGAATACCTCCTGGGTGGTACGCCCTTTGTAACTCTCTCAGACCTGCGTATAAGGTGCTGATCCTCTCTGCTCACTGGTTCAGTCTCAGGACTCTTTGGAGAACCAGTTCCAATAGTAAACAGTGGTTCATTCTTCACCTGTGAAGGTCTATCCATTGTGTGAGATTTCCTCTCAATGACTGTGTCAACTGAGCTCTTTGAGCTATCACTGTCACTCTCAGTACCACTGTAATCAGTAAAATCATCATCATCATCATCTGAATTGTCCTCAGTGAGAAATGTGTGAACAATTACTCTCTCCTGTTCAGGAGCATTTTCTAGAAATTTTGTGAGAATCACCTGACCAGATTCAGACAAAAGTACTCTGTAGAGACCCTTTTCATAACCCACAAAAATGCCTCTAGCATTCTTTACTCCACCTGGAGCATCAGATTTCACATGAGACCCAAAAACCTTAAAATGGGCAACAGAAGGTTTTCTGTGGAATAGCTTTTCAAAAGGAGAACTTCCTAAACCTTTTGAAAACTTTCTCAACCAAGAGTAACAAAAACACAATAACAATTCTGCCCAATACTCATGTGGCAAATGTGAACTCAGCAATTGCGCCTTCATGCCATTTTGCAATTCTTTGTTCACTTGCACACAGACACTTTTGTTCCATGCACCTGCTGAAACAGCAGTCTTGTGCCTTATCCCTTTCTTATCCAGGAAATCCTGAAAATCCTGTAAAAGAAAAACTGGCTTTTCATCTGTGAAAAGACAATCAATGTTAGCATCATGAACATTCTTAACTTTGTCACAAAACTCTTTAAACCTTTCTAAGGCTTCTTGTGGTTTGTGCAATATAATATCTTGTATTGCCTCTAGATGGTGCTAGAGGACCAATCACATCAGCATACACTCGCTGAAAAGCTTTGGTTACTTGCGTCGTCTTCTGGACGTTTTTCTTCACACCTGCAAGAGAAATCATGTTAAACTCAGATGCATTACAATTTATGCAATCACTTTGATTAAAAGTCAACAAATACAGTCCATCTTTCTCTCTGGCAGAAAGATACAGCTCTCCATCTTTGAAGATTTTGCAGCTTTCTCTATCATAGGACAAAATCAGTCCTTTCTTTGTGATGTGCGAAACACTCAGCAGATTGAACTTTAAATCAGGAACCAAATACACATTGTTAACAGTCAAGTTCAGACTCTTAAGATACACAGTTCCAAACCCGATCGCTTTCAGCTCCTGGCCATTGGCCTGTTTCACAGTGAAGCTTTGCTTCTTAAACGTTGAAAACAGTCCTCGACGCGACATCATGTGTTGCGTGCAGCCCGTGTCAAGAACAAAAGCGTTCTCCATTGAAAATTCGGGTTTTGTTGACAGCAATGCTTTTGCAGGTTTCACCTGGGACTTGGTACGACTTTTGCCTGACGCCGCAGGCTTTGTAGAGCTCCCCTTAGCTCCTTTCTGTTGATGTGGCTTCTTACAATTCCACTGAAGATGCCCAGTCTGTCCACAATTGTAACAACGGACAACGTTCAAAGCAACAGCCTGTTCTTCACTAGCAGTAGCAGTGGGGGTGTCAGAACTCCGAGCTTCTACATCTCCATCAGGCGCTAGCCTTAGATTGGTCAGTTTTTCATAAAGCAGCAACGCTGAAGAACTAGCATCTCTTTGATGTATTCTACACAGCGTTTGCCAAGTCTCATGCGCGTATTCCAAATCCTGAATATGCATGAGTTGATCATCTGAGATACACAGAATTATGGCCGTCCTGGCTCTCACATTCTGTGAATTCCAACCTGGCGTTGGTGCAGCAGGGATGGGGTTATCAATCACCCCAACAATCCTCTGATTCTGAAGCAGGGCTTTCATCTTTACAGACCATGAGGAATAATTATCATTAGTCAGTGGAGGTGGGTAAGGTAAGCCTCCCCCCTTCTTGGTATCCATTTTGAATCCAAGCCTCAGCTCTCACTCTCAAGCCTGTAAAATCCAAGAGTCTATTGGGTTGTTTACTGCCTTTCACCTGGCAGCTAAATGCAGGCAGCTCCAGAAAGTCCCTCCAAGAGCAGTGAGACAACAGACAAAACAAACGCTGGAATTTTTACTAGTGTTTTTCCAGCCTTTTACAATCCCAGCCACTCTTCCGTTGGCTAGTAAATTTCCACTTCCTTTCAAGCTAACTATCTCCGAAGTAGCTGAAAAGATTGACGTCTCGTTGCTTAGCAACTGGACTTGACTTTCCGGCTATAGCAAAGCTTATCAAGCCTCAGGAATGCGAAATATGCAGGCTGTTTCTCCGTGCTGTTTTGTTCCAAAAGCAGACACTCAGTGAACCGAAGAATGCTTCAATTCGCGTTCACTCTCACAGCCATAAAATCACCATACCTTGAGGGAATCCGTTGCTCAGCAAAAACACCTCTTTCGGTGCTCAGCCGTCCTTGTAGCTTCCATCCGCCTCCTACTACATTCTTTCTTTATCTCCTTGCAGAGGATGAAGTATGATCCATCAACCTCTCTTGTTGCTTTCATGGATCAAAACCATCCTCTGCTACCAGATGTCGGAAATCAATCCTTTATCAGGAGAAACTGGCCACTCTCCAGGCACCCGGCTTGATCTCCTGTTGACCTCCCTGTCTGTTTTCCCCAGCAGGATACAGGCTAGGTCGCGATAGGCGATTCTTCTCGGCGTGAGAAGAACACCCCCCCCCCCTTTCCTGCCCCCCCGGCAGGGGAAAGAGATAGACAGAAACGTATTCACATTCCTTTATTTCTGTCTTTGCAGCAATACAAAAGCATGACTGCTCTCTTCAAGCTCCAGCAGTCGAGAGACAAACACTTCCTGTACTTCCTGTACAAGAGCAAAAGGAAGAGCTCATATTACACTCACAGGAAGAGCCCTATGAATTGACTGTCCCTCTGTTTCCCACGGAACAGTCCTAACATTCCATCATGTGCTGTTTTCAAGCTAGCAGCTAGCAGCTCGCAGCTGCATTGCTTTTATATCGTAACAATAACACTGTGATTAACTATAGAGATGGTTGTGTTATGGGTTTGGGAGGGGCAGGCTGTATGCCCTGGGCCCTCTTCTAATTCATGGATCCAGCACAGATTCAGTGGAATAGCCAGCCTAGGTTTCTGGTAAGGTAATGGTCCTCTAAGAATGGGCTGTTGAGTTAGCAAAGGAAGAAGGCAAATGGGTGAGTCCTGCTCACGGGATAAAAAGCTTTGCAATCCAGGGGATTCTGCTTAAAGAGGTGCACCAACTGTTGTATAGCGTGCAATGCCTCCTCAGATGATCTTAGGAACTGTCCACAGGGGTGTATGGGGAGCCGTAGGGTAGGAGAGTCTTTCTGTGATCAAGCTAACTATGTGGGGCTACCTTTGAAGGTGACCCAGAAACTACAACTAATCCAGAACACAGCAGCCAGACTGGTGACTGGGAGCAGCCGCCAAGACCCCATAACACCGGTCTTGAAAGACCTACATTGGCTCTCAGTATGTTTCCAGGCACAATTCAAAGTGTTGGTGTTGACCTTTAAAGCCCCAAATGGCCTCAGCTCAGTATACCTGAAGGAGCGTCTCCACCCCCTCGCTGCAAGAAGCCAAGTTACAGGGAACCAGGCAGAGGGCCTTCTCGGTAGTGGCACCCACCCTGTGGAACACCCTCCCAACAGATGTCAAGGGAATAAACAACTACCAGACTTTTAGAAGGCATCTGAAGGCAACCCTGTTTAGGGAAGTTTTTAATGTTTGATGCACTGTTGTATTTTAATATTTTGTTGGAAGCCGCCCAGAGTGGTTGGAGAAACCCAGCCAGATGGGCGGGGTATAAATAATAAATTATTATTATTATTATTATTATTATTATTATTATTATTAGGTATGGGCAGTATCTAACGCTGCTGTTCCACTTTCATAACACACATCCACTTTTGCAACGGGTCTTCCCCTTCCTCTCATTATCTCTGAAGCCCCCCTCCAGCACCCTCAGAATTTGCCCCAGAGGATTGGGAGACCCTTCACAGCAGGTGTGCCAGGTTCCACGCAACATTGGGGGCCCCGGTGCGTACATGACAACACACAGTGGGAGGAGGTTCGATGGGGCCTGTCGTGCTCTTGGAGGAGGCCTTGCCACAGCCACAGAAGGACCCAACGGATCCTGTTACAGCTGTGGGAGGGCTCAATGGGGCCCGCCCGACTGTGGAATATGGAGGGGGCCCGGTCCCCTCATTGAAAATTTGGGGAGGCCTCAGTCCCCCTGGGCCCCCCATAGATGACATGGCTGCTCCAGAGCATATTTTGGGTGTGTGTAGAAGGAGGAATGGAAGGGGGAAGTCCCACTGCATAAGGAAGTCCCACTCACACAGCACTGAATGCAACCTTACATGTGATGAGTTTCAGGATGCCCTGGTTTTTCCTTGTTGCTTTGATGTGGGATCTTGGCTACAATGTTATGCCATCCTTACAGTGCACTATCAAACACAAAATGGATGGTGGATCACAGGTCAGCATTTCATGGCCCTTACTGATGCTCTGTTGAATTTGCGATACATTTCAACACAGATTCATGCTAATAGGAACCAATTTACATTCTAGAGGTCTTGAGCTGGTCCTTTGCTATACAGATGGAACATTCTGTCTATTTTTCCATCTGTACATTTGATATCTTGCACACACACACACACACACACACACACACACACTAGTACACATACAATCACATTAAATTGGTAGATTTTAAATTTGTTTACCAAAATAACTATAAAGGCACTCTTCACCCAATATCCCAGCTGTATATCAGCACCGTTCAGTTAAAGTTTCCTCTGTGAGGCATAAAGGACTAGTAGGATGCATGTTAAATCATTAATGCCGGCCTCCATTCTCTTTCGTCAGTTGTCTGACAAAATGGAGATGATAAATCGCTTCCAAAGAAGTTACAGGATTTCACTTTACTCCCATTTCAATATGCTCCAATTTAATGGGTCATTTGTTCCATGTTTGAGAGGATCTGCATCCCTGAAAGCTGCCACCCACTTTCCTCATACTCTGATTGAAAGGGCCAGCTGAGCAAAGTGCTCTCTGGAATGGTCTTGTGAAAGTAAAACGAACAGGCATCATCTTTTTTTTGGTAGCGGAAGAGCTAGAATTGGAATTGTGGTATCAGTTTCGCACTTGTTGTCTCTCTCAGACTTTGAAGTGAAGGCACAAGACAGGAGTTGATCATCAGTGAGCTGCGCACAGGTGAGCTGCATGCAAGCTGCCAGCTGGTCCTGTGGAGCCTCCTTTTATTGAGACAAATATGCAAGCTAGGCAGATATGTTTTTGGCTGTGACCTTTACACATCTTGGTCCCGAGATCGTGGGGTGGTACAAAGTTATTTTGGCACCTGTTTCCACCGCGTCATTTTCCCCCTGCACAGTGTATGACGAAGGAGACAAAAGGTTTCAGGGACAAAGGTTACAGACAGGACACCGCTGACTGCTGAGACCGCAAAAGGTCAGACAGAGGGAATGATGTTCAGACAGCTGTGGCTTGTCTGGGGGGGATGTGCCCTGCACCCCAGGGTCACGCATGCAGGCAGACTGTGGCTGCCTGCTGGTGGGGTGTGTGCTCTCTCCGGACCCCACTGCCCACTCCGCGATATCCCTACAGACTTGTATCATGATGGGTCCAACCATGCACTGCCCTCAGGGGGCACCTTCAGCAAGCCACCTTCAGCCATTCCACCTTGACATGGGAAGGTGATAGTCCCTGGGGGACAGGAATGTGCGCCTCAGCCTTGCCCGCAACTTAATGGGGCACTGGCCCTACTCCCAACCTCTACATGCTTTTTGCACAAACCTCCTCACAACCAAGCAGAAGGGAGTTTGCAAGCATGCCAACCCCCCAGAAGCACTTTGTCCCCCTCCAGCACCTTCAAAACCTGCTCCAGAGGATTGGGAGACCCTCCAGAGCACATTTCGGGGGTGCATACAGGGAGGAAAGGAAGGGGGAAGACTGTGTTTGTATCATAGGCATCCAAATTTTGGTTCCTTTAACCAGAGTGATGCTTCTTTGTTTTAGAAAGGGTCATGGATGAAGTTATTCTAATAATAATAAGCCATGATAGAAATTTACAAAAATTATGCATGGGGAAAGGAGCTACCAGTATACCTCTGCAGATCAGTTTTTAAGGGGCCCAAAATAAGTTCCCCAGGATAGGGCCTTCCTGGTCAGCTGAAAGGAAACTGGAATCACTGAAGTTAGTTTTCACCAGATAGAAGACGTCTTTTTTACTTGCTTTGACAGCAAGTCCTTGCCTCTCCCAGCAGTCACTTGATAGATTGGCATGTCAAAACAGAAAGTCAAGGTAGATTTGTCAAAGGCATACAAAGCCTTCAAAATGAATTAGGTGCAGTTAATCCATGAAAAATAGACTTCACTGTATTATTAACAGAATAATAAATTAATTTCTAGCCTTTGGTCACCAATGGACCTGGCTTGGCTCACATCAAAAACAATGTTAACATTTGCTACACTGGAATATTCTGATATAAAAACAACATTTTTGGCAATACATTCATCTTAATCACAGAAATTCTACCTAATAATGACAAACTCATCCTTCCCCAGATTTCTAAATTCCTTTATATTTATTTTCATAATTTTTCATAATTATCTTTAAATATATTAATATTCTTGTCTGCCAACCATATTCCCAAATATTTAACTTTTTATATATAATTATCTCTGTTTTCTGCTGTATCTCTTTTTTATCTTGCTCTGAAACATTCTTCACTAAAAGCTTATTCTTACTTTTATTCAATTTAAAACCTGATACTTGTTCAAATTCCTGTATTTTTCCTATTACTTTCAGTAATGCGTTTATAGGGTCTCCAACTGTTATCATAAGGTTATCCACGAATGCTTTCAGTTTATATGCTTTATTTCCTACTTTTATTCCTCTGATGGTTTCTTCTGCTCTTATATTTCTCACCAGGACTTCCGGAGGCGGCGCCAGCGGTCGATGGCGGATTTCCTCGGTTAGAGGGAATCAGCGCCACGAAAAAAAGGGTCGAATCCCGCTTCGGCGCAGCGGGGGACCCCTAAAAATCACAGGCGGGGGAAGCCTGTGAACCTGGGACCCAGCGGGCACATTTGGCGCCCCCCCCACCCGGCAAAAAGCCCAGAAACGGGCTTGAAATCGGAGTGGGGGAGAGCGCTGTGCTGTGGGCTGTCTGCTCGTTCATGGTGTGAAGCCGCAAGCTGTTGACCGGAGAGCGCTGCCTTTCTTCCTTAAAATCCGGACCTGGAAATCAACGATCCGTGAGTAGGATATACTCAAATTGGAACTGTACAAATTGAAAACTGAAATTAGGCTGAAAACGGAAGGAGGTTTAAAAAGGAAGTCAGCCTCCTTTATTGTAGATAAATTTAAAGCATTGAACTTGAAAGCGGAAGCATTTGGAAAGTACGTTTCAGCGGACTTTAATCCAATCATCTAACCTGGACTTTTCCCTCTATAAGTTGAGGGGAAAAGGGGGAGATCTCTGGAGGTGATTTCTTTATAAAGAGTGGAAAAGAAGAGATTAAACCATCACTCAATTTCCTGGGAAAGGATTTTCCAGATCCTAGGAAAGAAAGAGAGGTACTGTCTTGTAATATATTTTGACAGCTAGTCCTGCACTGGAAATAAAAGTTTGGATAGATTTTGTGAATATATATCTCCTGGTCCTAAGTTGAAAATTGTGATAGACTGTTTTCCTTTTGAACAAACTAGGGGGGCTTAAAAAGGAAATTAAAGTATCCAAGAACTTTTATGACTGTTACAGTGTCCCCCTAGTGGAACTTGGAACTGTTGCAACTTGTTATAACTGTAACTGTAGCAGGCTTGAGGAGTTCTCACACTGCTTGGGAGGAAATTTCCACTGTTCAATTCTAACTACGTGTCTGACCTTGAGAATTATCTAAGGAATGGCAGATAAAGAGAAGGCGGATGCTTCGACTACAAGATCGGGGAGGACTATTCGCACAGAAGAAGGATTACAAAGGAGAGCTTCGGCCTCAGGCCCTTCTGGAACCTCAACAATAGCCTCATCGGCACAACCAAAGGTAAAAAGTTCGACAAGTGAAGAAGCCTTTGCTCAAGTTTTGGCCAAAGTTAATGAATCTTTGAATAAAATAAGTCAACAAGTAGCAGAGGCTTCTGATAAGATTGACCAAAATACAATAAGTATCAATCAGAATACAGCAAGTATTAACCAGAACACAGCAAGTATAAATAATTTGGGCCAAAAAGTAAATACTAACACAGAGACTATTCAGAAATTATTAGAGGAATCGGCCTCAATTCGCCAGATTGCTGAAGAGGCTAAAGAAATTGCTACAACTTCTGCTACGGATGTTAAGGAGGTTCAAGAGGAATTACCAACATTGCATAAACAATTGGAAGACCACAAACTAACTCTGTCTATGATAGATTTGAGGGAGAAGCAAGTGAATCTTCGGGTCAGATCAGTACCAGAGGTGGAAAAGGACAATTTAGCTGAATTTCTCACGCAGGAATTTTTGGACTTTTGGGACCCAGAACTGGCAAAAGACAGTTTCACAATAGTAAATGCTTTTAGACTTGGGAGAAGAGGAGAGAAGAAGGTGAGAGACTGCCTGATTACTTTTAGAACAAAAGAAGAGAGGGATAAGATTTTGGGCCTACATTTCAAGAAGACATTGGAAATCCATCGGAAAAGGGTGGAAATATTCAAAGATATTCCGAAATATCTTCTGGATCTCAGATCAAAATACAAAGACCTGGTTATCCTGCTGAGAAGGAACAACATCAATTTCAGGTGGGAACTTCCTCAAGGCCTGTCTTTTTAGTTACAAGGGAAAGAAGAGGAAAATAAGATCGGAAGACGATAAAGATAAATTTTACAGGGACCACGGAGAAGACTTACAAAAAGAACTATTTCCGGAACCAAAAGACCGTTCGAAAGAAGAGATACCACCGACGGACGAGGAACAGGCACTAGGTGCAGTAGGAGAACTAAAACAATAACATCATGGCCCTGCAACTTTTAACATGGAACTGCCGGGGTTTGAATTCCCCTCAGAAGAGGAAGTCAGTATTTCATATATTAAAAAAGGAACAATTAGACCTAATTTGTTTACAAGAAACACATATAACAAGATTACACAGGAAATTGTTGATAAATAAAAGACTTGGTCAGGAATTTATTTCGTCAGATAAAGTTAAAAAGAGAGGGGTTGTGATCTACGCAAAAGACAATTTATCACCAAAATTTGTTTTCAAGGATGACCAAGGAAGATTTGTGGCAATTGAAATTCAAACACAAGGAGAAAAATTTTTGATTGTAGGAGTTTACGCACCAAATGACGGGAAATCTGATTTTTTTAAGAAGTTGCATGAGACCTTGATGGACCATATGGATTACAACATAATTTTGATGGGAGATATGAATGGAGTGGTATCTACTTACATGGACAAGGCACAAAGACAGGTAGTCACCAAAGATGGTAGACTACCGAAAACCAAATTTTCATATGACAGACAACTTGGACTTAGTGGATATTTGGAGAATTAGAAACCCCTTGGCAAAAGAGGGAACTTTCTTTTCTGAAGCCAAAATGACTTGGACAAGAATTGACCAAATTTGGATAACTAGAGGAATGGCACCAAAGACAAGAAAGGTGGAAATCTGCCCGAAAATTTGCTCCGACCATAACGCTGTTAAGATGGAAATGAGACTAATGCCAACTGGCTCCTTCAGATGGAAGATGAATGACACCTTATTTAGAGATGAAGAATTTCTTAAGAAGGCCCAAAAAACTCTAAGAGACTACTTTGAGATAAATCTTAGTTCCAACGTGGAGAAAAGAGTAATCTGGGATGCAAGTAAAGCTGTTATGAGAGGGTTCTTAATACAACAGAACGCGATAAAGAAAAGAGCTCAAAATGAGAAGAAGGATAAAATTATGAACAAAATGAATGAATGTGAAAAAGATTGCGAGTAAATCCCAAATCTCAAGAGATTTTGAGAGAGTTAAAGTTATATCAAGTACAATATATGAAAATAATGAATCAGGAAATAGAATGGAAAATTAAACAAATGAGACAAAAGACTTTTGAATCGGCTAATAAATGTGGTAAATTGTTGGCATGGCAAATGAAAAAGAGACAAAAACTAAATACGATTACGAATTTAGAAGTGGATGGAAGGAATATACAGAACCCTGCAGAGATTAGAAGTTGTTTCCAGAAGTATTTTAAAAGACTATACACTCAAGGGCCTGTGAAAGAAACAGACTTAGACCAATTTTTGAAAACAAATGGATTACAAAAATATCTCAAGAAAAGAGACTAATTTTGAATGACAGAATAACGGAACAGGAAATAGAAGGTGCCATTCAAAACATGCAACTGGGTAAATCTCCAGGCCCAGACGGCTTGACCTCTAGATACTACAGATCCTTAAAAGAATGGCTAATTCAACCATTGAAAGAGGTCTGCAACGAAATAATGGAGGGGAGGAGGGCACCAGAGTCGTGGAAAGAAGCATATATTACACTTGTACCAAAAACAGAGGCTGAAAAGACACAACTAAAGAACTACCGCCCAATATCATTACTTAATGTGGATTACAAAATTTTTGCAGATATTTTGGCGAAGAGATTTAAAAAAGTGCTGTTGGAAGAGATTCATAAAGACCAAGCGGGCTTTCTCCCAGGAAGACACTTGTCTGATAATCTGAGGAATATAATTGATATTTTGGAAAAACTAGAAGTGAATATAAACACTAAAGCAGTGTTGATATTCGTAGACGCGGAGAAAGCCTTTGACAATATTTCTTGGAATTTTATGAAGAAGAATCTTCAGGGTATGGGGGTAGGCCAAGGTTTTGAGAATGGTATAAGTGCAATTTATTCAGAACAAAAGGCTAAACTAATTGTAAATAACGTTGTGACGGAAGAACTTAAAATTGAAAAAGGGACACGACAAGGTTGCCCAATTTCCCCTCTTCCTTTTATTTCGGTCCTGGAGGTGTTGCTGAATATGATTAGAAGGGACCAGATGGTTAAAGGTATACAGGTCGGAACTAAACACTATAAATTGAGAGCATTTGCAGATGACTTAGTATTGACGTTACAGGAGCCAGAATCTAGTACAAAAAGGGTTTTAGAACTGATTCAAGAATTTGGTCAAGTGGCAGGATTTAAATTGAACAAATCAAAAACCAAGGTTTTAGAGAAAAATTTAACACCGTTTGAAAGAGAGAGGTTTCAGAATGAGACAGGGTTAACAGTGGTTAAGAAAGTTAAATACCTGGGGATTAACATGACAGCAAAAATGGGAATTTATTTAAAGATAATTATGAAAAATGTTGGTCAGAAGTGAAAAAAGATTTAGAAATTTGGTCAAACTTGAAGCTTTCACTGCTAGGCCGTATTGCTGCGATAAAAATGAATGTATTGCCTAGAATGTTGTTTTTGTTTCAAACTTTGCAGATTGTGGACAAAATGGACTGTTTCAAGAGGTGGCAGAAAGATATTTCTAAATTTGTCTGGCAGGGCAAGAAACCTAGAATAAAATTTAAAATACTAACAGATGCAAAGGAAAGAGGTGGATTTGCCCTGCCAGACCTCAAACTTTATTATGAATCAGCAGCTTTTTGCTGGTTGAAAGAATGGCTACTTCTTGAAAACACTGACATTTTGGATTTGGAAGGTTTCAATAATGTATTTGGATGGCATGCATATTTATGGTATGATAAGGTCAAAGCACACAAAGCATTTAAAAACCACATTGTCAGGAAAGCGCTATTTAATGTTTGGATAAGATATAAGGATTTGCTAGAAAATAAAACCCCAAGGTGGCTGTCACCAATGGAAGCGAAAGCCTTGAAAAGGGTCAATATGGAGGTCAAATGGCCGAAATATTGGGAAATTTTGGAACAAGACGGAGATAGACTGAAATTGCAGAGTTTTGAAAAACTAAAAACAAAGTGCGAGACTGGCTTCATTATTATCAAATAATGGAGGCATTTAAATTAGACAGGAAAATTGGCTTCCAGGTGGAAAAATCAAAATTAGAAACAGAATTGTTAGAACCCAATACTAAGAATCTGTCAAGAATGTATAACTTGCTGCTGAAATGGAATACTCAAGATGAAACGGTAAAATCGGCTATGATTAAATGGGCACAGGACGTAGGACATAACATTATGTTTGCTGACTGGGAACAGTTATGGACCACTGGTATGAAATTTACGGCATGTAATGCCTTAAGAGAGAATATTATGAAAATGATATACAGGTGGTACATAACCCCAGTCAAGCTTGCGAAAATTTATCACTTGCCCGATAACAAATGTTGGAAATGTAAAGAAACTGAAGGTACATTTTTCACCTTTGGTGGACGTGCCCAAAGATTAAGGCTTTCTGGGAAATGATATATAATGAATTAAAAAAGGTATTTAAGTATACCTTCCCCAAGAAACCAGAGGCCTTTCTCCTGGGCATAGTGGGCCAAATGGTGTTAAAGGATAGAACTTTCTTTATGTATGCAACAACAGCAGCAAGAATACTCATCGCAAAGTATTGGAAGACACAAGAACTTCCCACGCTGGAGGAATGGCAGATGAAACTTATGGACTATATGGAATTGGCGGAAATGACTGGCAGAATCCGTGACCAGGGAGAAGAGTCGATGGAGGAAGACTGGAAGAAATTCAAAGACTATCTTCAGAAACACTGCAAAATTAAGGAATGTTAGAGTGATGTTGGATTGAAAATAAGTGGTTTCCAGCTGTACAGGTTAAAGTTAAGGATAGATTAAGATTAAAGATCAAGATTAAAGATGTTTAAAGAAATGGAAATTTGATAATAAAAGGGAAAAATTTAAAGGTATATGACATTAAGAACAAGGATTATGTTTAAAAAAGTTGAAGTTATATATTTTAATATTTTATTAAATTAAAGATTGGGTTTAAAAAAGTGGAAAAGAAACTGCTGGACAAATAATGCAGATTGGAATACAAAAGAGGGAGGTATGAGGAAGTCCAGAAAATAAGTAATTTAAAATTGGGAATGGAAAAGAGAGTTTGTTTTTAATTGTTATGTTTTGTGTTTTTATTGTTAAATTTTGTATTGTTTTTTTCTGTGTGTGTTGTTTTTCTTTTTTCTTTGTTTAAAACCTTAATAAAAAATTATTAAAAATATATATATATATATATTTCTCACCAGAATCTCTAATACTAAGATAAACAATAATGGTGACAGGGAGCATCCTTGTCTTGTCCCTTTTAGAATTTTGCATTTCTCACTAATAACGTTATTCACAATTAATCTTGCTTGTTGCTCTGAGTAAATTGCGCCTAATCCTCTTCTAAACCTTTCCCCGAAATTCATCTCTTCTAAAACCTTATACATTAATAACCAAGAAATATTATCAAATGCCTTTTCAGCATCAATAAACGTCAAGGCTGCTTGATTTTCATTTCTTACCTCCAGGTACTCTATGACATCAGTTATGTTCCTTATATTATCTTTCATCTGATGACCTGGAAGAAAGCATTTTTAATGTTATTTTCATTAATATGCACACTTTTAACTAAGATACGACAGGAATGCCAGCTTGGCCCTGCGACCATGGGTGCCTGGGGCTCTGGGTGCCATGCTGGGTGAATGGCCCTGGCACCAAAATTTGTGGGTGCCCCGCCCCTTCATGGGGAATTTTGTGAGTACTCAGGCACCCAGGGCCCCAGGGAGCCAGCACCTATGGATATGCATTTTTGTAAACACTGGTCTATCTCTCTCCCCCTTGCTCCTGATGTAGATCTTCCCTCATCCCTTCTTCCCTGGCAGGGGGAGGGTACCATTTTAGGGTCCACCTCAGATGCCTAAATGTCTCAAGCTGGCCCTGCCGTTCTTTCCAAGCATGGGTCTGAGTAGCTTTCTGCTTCCCCCAAGCAAAACAGCTCTTTAGTGGTAAATTGGATGACGCGATTGATGTCTGCTCCAATTCAGGGCTCATGCAGATGTCCTTTTGTGTCATGTTTCAAGGCACAGATTCCTACTCTAAAGTTCTGTGTCCACTGCTGCTTTCTATACCCCGCTTGTTATGTCCATGAATGCTGAAAGATGGGGGATGGGTGCTGTTGTTTTGCTGTACCTTGATAGCCTCAAGGTACAATATTTCAGCTAAAAATGTGGAAAGGGAGAATCTGTCTCTGAAAACTGGTAACAACTCTAACCAAAATCTGAAAGCTGAATGGTACAAATTCCAATGTGAATACGGAAGGAGTTCTTGCTCTGACAATTGCTGCTTCTCTAGTCCTGGGACAGTCCTAGTCCCCTGTGTGTTGTGGAGGGACTGGGGATGAGGCTGAGAGGCAGAGGCAGTAGTTCCAACCACTACAACTCACTGCCTTTTGCAGAGGTAACATATCACCGTGTATGCCTCAAAGATCACATAGGCTGTGGTCACTGAGTCAGGTACTCAAGGGATGCAAAAGGAGACAACAGAAGTCAGGTCAAAGAGGTACTGGCCCTTTGTTCGGAAGGAAGAACAAAGGAAGACTTTATAAAGATCTCTTAACCAACACAATTCATACACTTACCAAAGTACCATGAGATTGCCACAAACCAAGAAAGCCTACAAACGTTATGGTAAAGTTTCTGTGATGCAATGAACTCTTTATTGTTAATGTGTACAGCTGTTGGATCAAGAAACTAAAGCAGCTATGCATTTGAGAAATAAATCATGTGATTCATGAGAAACAGTTCCAGATGATTCAGCTCCCCATATTTCTTCACTAGAGTTATGAAATTATCTGTATTTTCTTTAACAAATTCTTCTAAATGAGCAAACATTTCCATGTTTGGATTATTATATTTTATGAAGCTTACTGATAACAGCCATAGCTCTCAGTATAAGACAAAATGGAAGCGGCATACTGAATATTAGGATCAGCTGAATGTTGTGATTAGTTCTGTGGTCTTTCTTTTGAAGAGCACTGTGAATGTTAGTGAGGCATTAAGAACATTAGTTTTCCTTCTTTCCAGAAAGTATGAGTCATTGAGGGGTTTTTTTGGGGGGGGGGGGAAGCTGCTAAGTCACAAGTATCAACAAGTTTGTCTGGTGGTTGAGACTTCCTCCAGTAGCAGGAGCCCATCTGCTCTGAGATTTGCATGCAGTCTGCCACAGCTGCAGTCGGATTTAGCATTAAACCCCACAACTGCTCTTATGCAAAGTCAGCCTGCAGCCTTGTGACCGATTAAAATAATTGAAAAACTACCGAGGAAGCAAGAAGCAGATCAGGCAATCTACAATGGCTCACGTGCTTATATGACTGCTTGGGCTGTATTAACATCAGAGGGAGAAGCTTGCAAGGCTGAATCTTCTCCTCAGCATCCTCACACCTGAAAATGTCCCTGATGCAAAAGAATTCTCATGTATGTCACACTTTTCACAGACTTTTAAGAGCTTGTGCTTCCAAACAGATAAGATTCCCCAGACATGCCTGCACATGCTCAAAATTCCCTAGATTTAAAACCTTGTACTGCATTCTTCTTCAGACAACCCTCCATCATCTAAATCTTGACTAACTGCATTTTTGTACTGCTTCTTAATTACATCTCTTTCTGCTTCACCTCGTAAAGGAAGAAGTCAAATGCAGGCCTCACTATACATCCTTGAAGCATTGTCTCTAAAGAGGAGTTCCTCGAATGTACAGATACAATGAATTCAGGAAACAGTGTTATTGCATCCCAAAACCAGATATACCAACCTCTGGATTTTTGAAAACCTTCTGCCACAGTCACAAACTCAAAAGGGAACAATTCTCTCTCTATTGAGCATCTCTCTAGCAACACCAACTAACTCAGCCCACAGAGTAGCACCGGCTAATGCTTCCCCAAACATACAAACCTGCTACCCACTAGAGAACAGAGGGAGGCAAGAGCAGCACTCAGAAATGCTGTGGGAGTGGGAAACAGGTGTCCCTTGCCCCAGACTCTTTTGTGCTAAGTGAGGGGAGAATTGGCTTTGGGTTTTCCTAGCCAGTGTATATCGAATTGTGCTGGATTAGGCCCAATCTGCCTACTGGTTCAGGTTGGTTTTGCTTTGCTTTGCTTTGCAATACATCGGGTGGGGGGGGGATCCCTGGTCACTCTAAAGGCTTGTGGGAAAGAATAACAATGGCTGCTCTCTCTGAAAATGCAAAGACCAGCAGTTATGAGCATTTATTTGTAGCAGAGGGCAGAAAAAAGAACACACATTAGCAAAGGTGGAAACTGATTTTACTAAACTAAATTAATAATAATAAATTAATAATAATAATACCCCACCCATCTGGTTGGGTTTCCCCAGCCACTAGTTAATAGGTAGCACACTGGTTTGGTAGTGTTGCACAGTGGTTAGCGTGCCTGTTGCTTCCCACATAGACTAAGTCCCACCATTAGATGGTAGAAGGCTACTTCCACCAGTTCTAGGGCTTCTCTCCTGGATGGCTAAATTGCTGTCCTGAGACAGACAGAAACTGAGCTGGCCATCTTGTTCCATTATAAATAACAAAACCAAGAGTTAGCAATAGAGTAATATATTTATCATGACCAATTCAAAGACAGGAAGCAAGGAAAAGATACTTTCACATTGACCAGAACTCTTCTTCAGGCTTGATTCCAGGGGTTCCAGGCACTTAGGGTTTGGTTTCCTCAGAATGAGGGACAGCAGAGACTGTGGTGTCTTTATGATATATGGTTTATTTATATCCTACAACCTGCGAAGGGACTCACAGCATTAACACTCCAGGAGGTCTTGCTGTGCCCATCCTTGGATTGAAGCAGAAATCTAGCATGACTTTGTCTCTCTGGGCTGCTGCCTGCTTCAAGCTTCTAGCCCAGCTCATGCACAAACAACTCTGCCCCTGTTGTCACCAGCAGTGAGGTAAGGGAGGGGGCACCAACTTGCCCCCTGGTACAGAGCCTCTTCCTTTGATACCACCAATAACTCACCAAGAAGCTGGCCTGGTCAATTGACTCCTCCATTAGATTTTATCTCTTGCTGGATCCAAGAATTAGAAGAGCTCAGGCATACAGCCTAACCTCTCCACCTCACCCCCCACAGTTGGATGTCAATATTGTGTCTCTGTCTACCAACACCAGGTGACTACTAGTGGTGGCCTTTGCATGGGATCTGGAATCAAATAGCTTCCAAAGAGTCCTCAGTGGCAGCCCCATTACGTGGTAGAACATGACAATAGGTTGTTTTTTTTAAATGCACCCGTGTTAACTTAAGGACAGGAGCTAGGGAGAAAATTGGGGGCAGGGGGTAATCAGAGGCTGGATTGTGGTACAGTGGTACTTCGGGTTAAGTACTTAATTCGTTCCGGGGGTCCGTTCTTAACCTGAAACTGTTCTTAACCTGAAGCACCACTTTAGCTAATGGGGCCTCCTGCTGCTGCCGTGCCGCCAGAGCACAATTTCTGTTCTCATCCTGAAGCAAAGTTCTTAACCCGAGGTGTTATTTCTGGGTTAGAGGAGTCTGTATCCTGAAGTGTATGTAACCCAAGGTACCACTGTACTGTATTTCCTGTACTGCATTAATGAGTTCAACCTGTGTCATAATGTATATTTTATTGCTTTTAAAGTTGAACAATCAGACATTGGTTAGGAGTCTTATCCCAGCTTGCAAACCTCCAGGGCCATTTTTATCTGCAAGGAAACAAGTTTGTATCTGCAGAAATCTGATGTGGAAAGAGCAGTGGCTGGTTTCTCTTTACCGATTTATTAGGTAAAGGTAAAGGTAAAGGTAAAGTTAAAGGTAAAGAGACCCCTGACCATTAGGTCCAGTCACGGACGACTCTGGGGTTGCGGCGCTCATCTCGCTTTATTGGCCAAGGGAGCCGGCGTACAGCTTCCGGGTCATGTGGCCAGCATGACTACGCCGCTTCTGGCGAACCAGAGCAGCGAACAGAAATGCCGTTTACCTTCCCTATTTATCTATTTGCACTCTGATGTGCTTTCAAACTGCTAGGTGGGCAGGAGCAGGGACCAAGGAATGGGAGCTCACCCTGTCGCGGGAATTCAAACCACCAATCTTCTGATAGTCAAGCCCTGGGCTCTGTGCTTTAACCCACAGCGCCACCCACAACCCTTCCCAATTTATTAGGCATAGCCAAAGGAAGGGAACCAGATA